GTTCAGCCTGGAGAAGAGAAGGCTGCGGGCAGAGCTGAGGGCAGCCGGTCAGGGCTTAACGGGGGCCCAGAGGAAAGGGGGGGACAAGCTTTTTAGTAGGGCCAGCTGTGACAGGACAAGGGGTGATGGTTTTAAACTAAACCAGGGTGGGTTTAGACTAGATATAAGGAAGAAATTCTTTCCAATGAGGGTGGTGAAACCCTGGCAGGGGTTGCCCAGAGAGGTGGTGGAGGCCCCATCCCTGGGAACATTCCAGGCCAGGTTGGCCGGGGCTGTGAGCAACCTGATGTGGTTAGCGGTGTCCCTGCTCATTGCAGGGGGGTTGGACTAGATGACCTCTAGGGGTCCCTTCCCACCCAAAACATTCTGTGATTCCTGTTGTCCCACCAGCAGAGGTAGAGGGTGGCTTTTTGCTCTGATACGGAGGGAGATCTCCCTTTTCAGCAAGACCAGCTGCTGCTTAATAACGACATAGGACTCCAAAGAGCTTTTCTTCCCTTTGGAAGGGAGGGGTGGAGGACAAAGGTGGAAAGAGTAGTCATTTAAATGAGTAGTCTCACTTTAATAAATGAGACTAAAATAATTATTTAAATGAGATCAGTTATTTAAATTAGATCTGATTATTTATTTTACTTTGTTCCTTGCTGAAAACAAAATAAAACCGGGCTGAGATTCTGAAGAGTAGTAACTTTTTCTTCTGGAAGGTCATCTTGATTCAGTAATGAAATGCTACAGTAAGGCATCTAACCAGAAACAATCTATTACTAATTTTTTTTAGTATATAATTATAGAGCTTTCTTTTTCGTTTGTAACCTGAACTCATTCTATCATTACTACGTTTGCAGGCTACCACAAATGCTGCTAAGAATGGTTCATCATTAAGTAAAAACAAAGAAGATGAAGATATAGCTAAAGGTAGGTTACCAGTCAGAGCCTTGGCTTAGACTTGTGCTCTAGAACTTTTGTTAAAATGCACAGAAATAGGAAGGTGTACTCTCTTCTGCTGGGTAGAATTAAAAACAAGTGTACAGCAGCTTGGGAATCATTCAAAACGGTACGAAGGTGTTTTCCTCATGGGTGAGGAATTGGGGTAAGATGTATTCTTCCCCATCACATAGCCGTTGTTTTGTGATTGCTTTCTCTCCAGAGAGCTTGGCGTTTTCCCTTCTGCACCCACATGTTTTATTTTAGCCTTCATCTTGATGCTTTAAAAAAAAAATCAGAACACTTACATGTTTTATTCTTTCTCCTCTTTCTTGGATATAGTTACTGTTGTTCAGATGTCATAGTGAAGAATTTATCAGTATTTCTGATCATGCTGATGATGCTACTGACATAGGTAGTGTGTGCGCTGCTTCAAGTGGTGGCCTGTACCAGGAAAAGTAGAGGGTTTTTTAAATGTTTCATAACTTGTGCATGATTACGTCTTGTCTTTTAATCTTGTTGCAGGGCAGAGTAAAGCTGTTGAAATGTGAAATATGGCTAGTAGTTGGAGCAAAGATTTGAAACTTAAAGTATTAGAGAAGCAGATACAGAGCATGTTGATTACATAGCAATAAGTTTTGGGGTTTTTTTTAATTAGGAAAGCAAACTGCCTTTATATACAGGGATAAAATACACCAACTTTTTTCTTTTTTCCCTCTCCTAATTGTAGCTATCGAATTGTCTTTGCAAGAGCAGAAACAGCAACAAATGGAAACTAAATCCTTGTACCCATCTGCAGAAATTCAGCAAAACAATCAGAACGCGAGGAAAGTGCGAGCTCTGTATGACTTTGAAGCCGTCGAGGACAATGAGCTCACCTTTAAAAGTGGAGAAATTATTTTTGTTTTGGATGACAGGTATAATATATCTGATGGAGGTGCCTTTATTCCAGAACTGTTGTTTTCTTAGGATAGCGATTTTTTTCTCTGATTTCCCCCCCCCCGCCCCCAGAAATGTATATTGTCCCTCTGGCCTCCCTCAAATCCCTTTATCTTCCACTCTTCTTTCCATACCCCAAGTTTTTGACCTCAAGTCATTTTTGGTGCAGGGAGAACCTTGCTGTATTACATTGGGCATTGCATGCCGCGGTGTTGGTCCAATTTGTTTGTAGTTTTTAAGATAAATGTTAGTTGGTTATAGCATATGTCATAAGAGTATACAAACATGTTGGTGCTAAATTCCAGCTACTTCCAGAAATTGTTAAATCTATGGCTATCAAGTGTCACATTTGCTAAGAATAAAACTGAAGACAAAATACTTCAGGGAATTATTGTTGTTAGCACCATTGCTCCAATGATAGCTAAAGAGCAGAACTTCCTCCCTGCTAATGCTGTTCTAATTTAATAGACTGTGACAGATCAATTATATTTCTAATGTTAGTCCCTACTTGTGTACTACTTGTGAATTTTTAGATGAAGCTATAATGGGCTATCATCTTATCAGTCTAAAAAATTGCAGTTGTGTTAAATTTTGGATGTTTGCTACTGAATGATTTTACTTCCCCCAGTCCCTCCTCTTCCCCTCCCCACCCCTCTGCCCCAGCTCCTGTCCTTGGCTTTGCTGCTAATCTCTACAAGTGTTCTCCTTTGCCTTTGTTATCGGATACGCAGGGAAATGATGTATTAGATATCACAGGTTTTCTGTCAAAAGCCAAAATACATTGCTGACAGTAGCGTTAACGTTCAGAGTTTTGTAATACATCTTTATTTCCCCAGTGACACCAATTGGTGGAAAGGTGAAAATCATAGAGGAGTAGGACTGTTTCCATCTAATTTTGTGACTTCTGACTTAGATGTGGAACCAGAGGCAGGTAAGTTAACTACTAAAAGCTGACAGATTATTTTAGAAAGGTGAGCTTATGGTAGAACTATTAATTAGCCCATCAGCAAAAGAATTTCCTGAAATCAGCCCAAGGAAGGAATCAAGAGAGAAATCCTGCCCTTGTTTCAAACAAGCATATACCACTGCTGTAGCTCACCTCAACAACTTCTATCTTCTGATTCTCTTCAAAGTTGTTACCTTTTTCCTATTACAGAAATTCAGTTCAATTTACCACAATTCTTTGTCAGTAACAGATTATGTATGAATGCAGTAACTTGCCATTTAAAATGTCAAAGTCTCTTTTCAGACATCAAACCTAGTATAGAATAACATTCATACCCATCTCAGTGGTTTGGAAGAATCACATTGTTAGCTTTATTCATGCTCATGATACCAAAATAAATCTTAACACTTATGACTTGGCTGGAAGTCACTGTACATGTGTTGGAAGTGTTTTTAGGTGCTAATATGACTCAAGAGTCTTTCCTTTGCTGGGCCTAGGTTCATAATCAGGCTAACAGCCCAAAGGAAGCAGCTTGTCAGAACATTTTCTAGGCAAACCCGTTTTCCCTTCTTCAACAGCTAGGTGCATCACTGCGTAAAGTACTTAGTCAAATTTCTCTCTCATTTAAAGATCTGATGGCAAGCAAGGAGAAAATGTGTATTTTAAGTTAGCACGGTAACACAGCTACAGAAAAGAAACCAATGTTTGTTCTTTCAGCAACTGTGGATAAAAATTCTGTTCCTGAGGATACTACAGAAGAAATTAAGAAAGCAGAACCTGAGCCAGTTTATATAGATGAGGTACGCAGTCACTTTCGATATAAAAAATTGCTGAGATTTTACATTGGTTGAAACACTCTTTTGTTTACTGAATGTTATCAGATCATTTTTTTTATATAAAGGACTTTTTTTTTTTATTTGATAATTAAAACAGTCTCTGCCATGCTTCAGAAATAACTGTTCTTAATCTTCTCTTCACCTTTCAGGATAAGATGGATAAAACACTGCAGGTACTTCAGAGTATAGATCCTACAGATTTAAAGCTCGATTCTCCAGATCTTCTAGACTCAGAAGGTACTTTGAGCACCAACTTAGCTAGTTTTTGTATTTCTTCCCACAATTACCTTTTGTGGATCGAGCTGGTAATTCTTTTGCATTTATTTTAAGCTTAGAGAAACCTAATAGTGTGCTGTACAATAGCTTATTTCACAGTGGGAGCGTGGGGCTGGATGTATAACTCTACATTTTCTAACAGTTGCCAAGCCAACTCCATGTTTAGCAGTCATTTGCATAACTTGCAGCTAGTGTACAATGCCTGACGTTTGCAAGATCCATCCACCTATCAAAACTCTCCTTGAATTAAGCAATTCATTTTGTGTCAAAATTTCTCCAAAATTCTGCTGGCTAGGAGGGGAGAGGAAGTTCAGCTCGCGTAAGAGCCAGTTAGTTCAAGGTGTGTAATAACAATTGAGCATATATTAAAAAAAGGAGTGTTCCCAGAATGGAAAAAGCGAAGGTACAGGAAGCTCCACAGTACAACAGATCTAGGCAGACGCATGGGCAGTCTAGGTTAGATATTCCAGTAGGAGATGACAGTCATGGGTCATGGCCAGTGCAAGCAGAAATGCAAAATTCCCCATGTTTTTTGTCAGTAGTCTTTTGTTTGAGAGCGTAGAGGGAGAGGAGAGAGGATGACAAAGCAGAATAAGGACAACATTGTCCTGTCTGTTTGGGCGGGAGAATGGGACACGCATGGTAGCTAAGTGCACTCTCCAATTTCATATGCTTTTTTAGTGTGCTTGGATAAAGTATTTTCTGACTGCATTTAAACTTCTAATTGTGGAAGATATTAACTACTTTGACACCTTTGTCTTCACAGATATTTGTCAACAGATGGGTCCAATGATAGATGAAAAACTAGAAGAGATAGATAGGTAAGCCATGATGTAGCTTCTGCATTATTTACTGTGATTTACTTTAAATTGTGTAGTTGTTTTCAATTTATTTTTTTTTTTTGGTACTTTCATCTCCCAAGCTAGAAAATCTTGCAAGAAAGCAATTTTGACCATTCTACCTTTATTTTTTTAATGCTTAGGTACCAAAGTCCCATTTTGTATACTAAGATTTGATTGCTGCTCTCCAAAACTTACTGCATAAGTTACTGGGTGCATTTTATACTAGCACTTTTTGACTGTAGCCTTTTGCAATCCGTCTTGAGCTCAGTCTGCTGCTGACTGTCCCCCATGACAGGAAAATCTGTTTGAGATCTTCACCCCTTGCCCCTCAGACTCCTAGGATATTTGCAGGTGGAAAGCTCACTAACATCTGCAGAGTTGCTTGCCTTATTGCAACTAGGGAAGAATAGCTGTTCTCCACTTGGACTCTCCTTCCAGTCCCATTGCTATAAGAAACAGAATGGCAGATGTGTAAGAAATTGAACATCTACCTTTTAAGTTGTTTTTTCTTGCATATTCAAAACTGTTTAATGAACCACTCTTATACCACTTAATACTAGATGTTAGAGAAACTTAGCATTTGTATGTATTTGTTTTGAAACAGAAAACACTCAGAATTATCTGAATTGAATGTGAAAGTTCTAGAAGCTCTGGAGCTGTATAACAAACTGATGAATGAAGCACCGATGTATTCGGCCTACTCAAAACTCCACCATCCTGCACAATACCCACCTACATCTTCTGGTGTTTCAGTGCAGGTCAGTACTCCTTTCTGGAAATAGAGACTTTCCCAATATAGATTTCTATTTAAAAAGATGACAGCAAAAATGAAGTGTACGCTTTCTTGCTAGCCTACGAACAATCTGACATCGCCTGGTGACTTTTTATAGCCTTTAGAATAAAATCCCATTTACGCAGTAGAACAGAGTACTTCAATTTGCAGTTTCCTGCTTGTACAGTAAGGTATCATTGTTAATTTTGCTCTCCTTAGCAGAAAGGTACTGTATTGAAAATACTAAAAGATTCCTTCCATGATTAATTTTTTACAGTTAGAAGTGTGTGTTTCAGCAGCTTGGTGGATATTCTTGCTGTGAGTCATGTCCTCAGCCTTAAAGTAAAACGTTACCTTCTTAACTAATAGCAGGGATGTGAGTGAACTTTAATATTAGTGCATTAATCATGAGTACAGTGTACTTCTAAATATAGAAACACTAGTCTGGTTTTAGCTCTTTTTTTCCCCCCCCCCCCCCTTAAGAAATGAACATGTTGTATTAGGGGGTGTAGTTGCTCAAAACTGCTCTAGAGTCTCTCTAATGTGCCATATTGATGTTTTAAGACAGCAAAAATGGAGGAGAAAGAGAGATTGTAAAGATCTTTTTTGAGAAAGCATAGAATGAGTGTTTTCACTTTAAGTGAATTTTACTTTAACATTAATTGTTCAGTGGGAAAAGAATAGTTGCCATAGCAACTGCTAGATCTGAAAATATGTCAGTTAAAAGTAATTCTGTGTCCTTAACCACTGGTAGCGATGGAAAATTCATTATATTTGGAGGTTAAAAAGTAATTTAAGCCAAAAGGCAACTGGAGTTTACTGTTTCTTCCAAGATGCACGCGTCCAGCAGTGAAAATACAAGGTAACACTAACCGTGCTGAGCTCAACGCAAAGCCAATGAGTAGAGTAGGATAGACTTCTGTTAGGCTAAGCATGTCACACCACCTGCTCTACCTGAATTTTGAGTGAAGACTTGCATTGTCTTAAACCAGAAATACAAGAAACTAAAATGTTTGCTTTCCTTTTGTGTTATAGTCTTAGAAAATTCCTGTGTTTTAATTTCCAAAATGTGTTAAATAACAAATCTTCATATGGTGCCTGTCTTCCTACTCAACTCTGGGCGTCAAAATATGTAAGGATTGAACATTTTAAAGACCAGGCAAATTAGAGAGAAAGAAATAAGGTTTCTGGGAGGGGCAGAGGTCTTGTGCGTGATACAAAAGGTACTTTTTCAGATATTAAGTGATGATCTCGTTAGCAGCGTATTTCTGAAAAAGGTGCCTTCTGAAGAAATAAAGGGTGCCTATTTAAAACTTGTTACGAGAAGTTACATGGTTTGGTTTTAGAACCTTGTTGGAGAAATTAATTGGTGTTCATTCAGCCTTTGAACCCTAACATATATGTTCATTGTAGTGGTATTCTGTGCCACATTTGTTGCTACTTAATTGAAAATACAAGGTATACACTGTTTTTTTGGGTTGTTTTTTTTATTTACAGTCATATCCTGTACAGCCACCTAGTGGAAACTACATGATCCAGGGTGTTCACCAAGTGACCATTTCACCAGGTTATAGCCTAGGACCTGATCAGATGGGGCAGTTGAGGTCTCTGCCACAAAGTATAAATTCTTCTGGAGCACCTCAGCCAGCTCAAGCTGCGTATTTAAGGTATTGCTTCAGCAAACTGTTAAATCACCTTCTCTCCTGATGGCAATTTTACTGCTTTGTCTAGAGGTTGTGTGTTCTTGGGATATTTACAATGACACGTAATACTGCTTTTGATCATTTTGAAAAATACGCAGATCGCTTTTGGGCTAAGCAAAATTCTTATTTGCAAACCTGCCTGTCGGATAAATAGGCATGAACTTGTCAGGATTAGATTTGTTTTGTTTTGTTACAGCCCAGGACCGGATTCTGTGTTAAACCAGACGTACGTGAACCAGAACCCCGGCCTTCCCTCGGCTGCCAGCACAGCTGCTTACACCCAGCAGCAGATGGGAATGTCAGTGGATATGTCGGCTTACCAGAACAATGCGTCGAGTTTGCCTCAAGGACCAGGTTATCCCGTGGCAGTTCCCGCTCATTCCGTTCTACAGCAACAAACAAATTACCATCAACAGCCTCTCCTTTAAAAACAAACCGGCTCATGTTTCCGAATTAACGAATAAAGGTTGCCTGACCTAATGAGTTTTAGGAATACCTGTCACGGATATCAAAATACGTTTTCCTTTTTAAATAACCCAACTTACTGCATTATGCAGATGCATCAGATCTGATTGTTAAGCATTTGCATAAAGATAGCTTGAACTAGAGTAGCTGATGGTTTAAAATAATTTCAGATTACTCTGAGCCCTTATTTCAGCAGTTTCAAGAAACGCCACTTCTGAATCTTAAGTTAAAAGATTGTCTGAAAATAATTTTCTTTTCATTGTGTTTATGAGAACTTGAGGATGCTTGATCGTTGTTATGCGTTGCTCTGGTTATGCATTGCCTCCTCCGGTATCTTACTATAACCTTTCTATCCAAGTGGCTTTAGAGAATCTCTGCAGGGTTAGAGACCACCTTCTCTCTGCGCTGCTGTAGTCAGCTTTGCAATATGATGCGCACTGCGTAATTGGAACAACTGCACGAGCTCGGCAGATGAGGGGAGGAAGAGGAAATGATTTGGTATTGTGACGGTGAGGACCATGTACCTACAGATGAGGTTTTTACAGTGCTGCCTCTTAGATTTTGGGCAACTGCAGAGAACTTCTGATGTGTTTTGCTTGAAGAAAACAGGTGGGGTTTTGCTAGAACTCGCTTGTGTCTTCTGGCAGAGGTGGAGCTGCAAGCACGAGTCTCCTTTGCAAGAGCAGGCAAGGGATGCTCCCAGCTGACTGCGTGGGCATTCTGTGGATACAAGGTGCTGAGCCAGAAACTTGCACAGGGTCTCTTTTCTTTTCCTTTCTGGATGTGTTTAGAAGTGAAGGAGTATCGTAGTTCCTTGTGGTAAAGGAGGGGCTCAAGAATGTTTGAAGCTTAAGACTGTGAGAATCTGCCTTGTTCCCTTTCCAGTGGGGAGCCGAGCGGAACAGGAATCGTCTTTATGGGACCAGGGGGTTCTTGCCTCTCTTGGATTTCCTTTCTCCGCCACCGTTTCCATGTCTAAATCGGTGTCAATTGTAGTCAGAGAAACTCTTAAACCATCTGCAAAAGGTACAGGCAGAGTACACGTGCTTTGCGAGGGGGATTGTGCTCCTCGTTTAATACAAGGAGCGGTTGCATATTGAAAACGACAGACGTGTCGTTACAAAAGGAGTTGCCTTGGAACTGTGGAAGCGTAGCATTTGGTGGCTAAGAAAAGAAATCTAAGAATTTCTTCCCTGATGCACTTTTTTAACGGGTGGGGTTTGTACAAGAGGAGCAGATGAGCTGAATTGTCTTTCAGGAATGTGGGATTTCTTTCTTTTCTTGTTTCAACCTCTGAAAAAAAAAATCACTTCATTCTCCTCCTATTTACCTGCTCACTTTAGCATAGTCGTATTTATACCTATTTTAACAATTTTATGATGAGTAATAATCTTTAGATTGGGAAAATGATGGAAGCAAATCACTGACAAAACCATCCTGATTAAACGCACGAAACTCCCAAATGTCTAACTAAGTATGCTTGGTGTATACATTTTCTACCAGATGAGAACTATCAGATTGTAGACTGTTGTTGAGTAATGAAAACCACCCTTCGCTCAGCACCACCTCCATTTCTTTTACGTTTTATTTAATTATTTAGTATCGTGACCTTATTCATTTGCAGCCTCATGCTTATGCAATGAGGTATTCAGTACCTGCTCTTTAAAAATTATTTTTTTTTTCATTTAAATTTGTGCAATCAGAAGGAAGCTGTTGTCTTTCCTTTTGGCATGACTTTAACTTCTCTTTATCCTTCCCCTTGAAGTAATTTCATATAGCTAACATATGCTGCAATACTGAGGTATTTTGATAACTTCTTCCTTGCGTTCTTTAAGAAGAATAATTAATTTCAATGCTGCTGTTCAAAATCCTGATTGTTTGGAGATTTTTTTTTTGGTAAGAGTTTCCTTTGTTCCAAATTGGTATGTAGTCAGACTAGACCTTGCTATCATTTATATAGATTCTCCATGTTTGTTAGTGAATTGAGATTAAGGTAGGGTTTTTATTGGTTTCAAAACTTTGGTCCAGCAGAAATATTGAGTATCTTCAATGGAGATGGCTAGGCGGATGGGATTTGATTATGTTCAGTTAATTATTAAATATAAATAATGTATATACTCATTTGTCTGAGATTTTTCTACACGGCTACACATACGCATTCTGTTAAAGCCCCAAATTTTATAAAAGCAGGATTTGTCATTCTGTCATCTCTTAGATTCCTAATTCTGTGATATGCAACTTGTAGATAGTGTAAAATAATTTAATTATTATTAAAATAGTGGATTTAGAGGGTTTTGGTGTTAATAGGAGCTGTTTTTTCTCTTCATACTTCTATACATTATCATATTTATTTTTAAGGCCTGATTGTAACTGAACATGCTGCCAAAGGATTTATCTAACTTCGGATTTCTACATTAGGTTTCTACCTGCTGTTTTGTATCGGGAATCAACGGTAGATAACTTCTGCTTTTTCATAGAAACTCTTAATGGTTAACATAGAGATTTGGGCAACTTTATAATGAGAATTTTATTGTAATATATTTGTTTCATGGGTGTTGAAAATATCAATACTAGACAAATTTTCTTCTAGTATGAGTTGGCAACCTGTGATGTCTAAGTTACAGTCCGAAAGCAACAACTGGATTTGTCTGTGCTGTCGCCATGCAGAGACGTGTTTTGAGAAACTGCGGTCTTCCGTCCAGCCTCGGTGTGACAAGCGCTTTGTCTGTGGAATTTGGTACAGAAATGAGAATATTAAAAAATCAGATTGTTTCTGTAACAAGTAAACCTTAAAAATAATGTTCGGTGTTTGTTTTACTTCAGGTTTTGTTGATAGATGTTCGTGGACTTGCGGGACGGTGTGGTTCTCTTGAAGGCTGTCCCTCAGAAAGGAGAGCTGAGGGGGACACGGCTGCAGCTGCGATCTCTTACGGGAGTTATTTTCCGATAGGAAGGGTTTGGGGTGGGGTTTTTTTTTCTTATTTTTATCTATGCATCTTTTCTAAGAAATAACAGGCAGTACTCTTGCTTACATTGAACACTGTGATGGATCTGTTGAATCAATGGATAACTTCTTAGAATTTACGGCTCTTGCCAGTTAACGTTTTACATGAAGCTGCCTCAAACTGTTTTGAATTGGTGCAAATGAAAAAGGAAGGAACGGAAGTACAGCTGGGGCAGGTTCTGAGCACGTCTGCGCTTCCCCAGGTCTGCTCCCTTCGCCGGCGCTGCGGTCGGCCAGCGAGCGGTCTGGCACCGAGGGATGGCAACGCCCGAGCTTTGCAGTCAGACCAAGGGGTCTGCTTCTGTTCCAGCTGGGGTTCAAGGTGACTTTGTACTGGTTAATAGATGTATCACAGTTCTTACAGGAAATTATCTTAAAGAGTTTGCAGTATTAAGAAGAGGGGATCTGTTTTATTGGAACATAATATTGTTTTATTGGAATATCCGTTTGGCCTCCTGTCTGCAATATGTGTGCATTGCCTCGTGTGAATAAAACACAGTTTGTTTAACCAACACGGGTGAGGGGTCTTGTGCCGACGCTCTGAAGAGGCTCAGTTCTGAGCTGTGCTGCACTTCACCGCTGCTGACGAGCTCTTCTAATTGGGACCGGTGCTCTGTCGCCCGGCGTACCTGTGGGCTGGGCTCCGCAGGTCAGCGAGGGAATACTGCTGTGTGTCGGGCGTTAACGAGGGGGGGGGGAGCTGGAGAGAATGATCTTACATAAAATGGTAATATGCTTCCCCACAACTGCTGAGGTATTTCTACAGAAAGCAAAGATGCCGCTCTTTAAGCGTGGTTGTATTGCACATCTTGTGTCCGAGCCATGAGTGCCTATGGCTGCTTACAGGTTTTCACGGAGGCTCTAAAGAAATTATCCGGAGAATTTCTAGCTCATCCAAAATAAGAATAAATCCTTGTGCTTTAATGGTACCTTCTGCTACTGCTGCAAATGGACACCAAAAAAAATGCGTGCAAGCAGCCCCAGGTACCTGGGAACAGCTCCCTTAATTGTTACTTGAGCAAAATAAATCCCTGCGCTTCATCGCTCACCCGCAGCCCTTCTGAGCCGCTGACCCCAGCGGGTTGATTTCGGGTCGCTTCAGGCTGCAGATCTAAATGTTACAAAGCACTTACAAAGCCAGGGCATTTACCGTGGTACTGGCAAATGCTGGTTTTTCGTTTCGAATCTCAACCTAAACATTACTGCATCCAGCTGAAGTGAGGCGAGGACATGTTACTTTTCTGGACATAGTCATGCTGAGATGTTTAAAGAAAAGTAGCCTTCCTAGGACCAGTTTAATGATTAAACTGAATTTAAAAATAATCTAATTTAGACGACAGCATTCATGACCCACATTCATCTTTGACGAAGAAACCAGGCTGTCTAATTTCATCCAAGGAATTTAAAAAAAAAAAGCCTGCAGTTTGCGACCAGAGCGAGCCAGAGCTGTTTGCTCGGTTGTGCTCCGGTCCTTCAGCAGGGGCGTGCGTGTGTTCGGAGCTTTCGGGTGTAAAAGTGAGCTCGGTTCACAGACGCACGTGTTTCTTCTCCTACTGCTCTCGGTGGGAGCTGTAAGGTGCTTGTGGTTAAAGCACAGGAGTGGGGAAGCTGGAAATCCAGGTCCTGCTTCCCCTTCTTCACCAGGTTTCCTCTTCAACTTTGAACAAATCGCTTAAACTCCTCATTTATCTTCTTTTCCCCTCCAAACCCTGGAAGTCACAGCCCTCGCTTGACTGGTGGTTGATGCAAATCGATGCTGACCGGTACTGGGGAGCGTTGGGCGGCACCGCGGCCGGCGCGGTCAC